CAACAGTATATGTATTTGTTTAGAATTTAGTATACGACCATGTGCATTATATGTAGTTGAGGGTAATATAGACAATTTTTACCCCCCGAAAACCAATATTGGCTGCTTCTCGGTTGACAATGGTTTCCTCTTGGTGAAACTTCCAATATTGCCCTGAACTACATACACTATTTATACTATGTAAATTCTATCGAGAACATAAAATGGTTTCTTCTTTCAATAGATTTCCCTTTTTCTTTATTGAATAAATCAAACAAAGGATGATCCGCCCAGCAAGGCAGAGATCAATATAATGAAAACAATAACACTGGACTTACATGAAGCAACAAAAAGAGAAAAAAATCAACTGGAAAAATGCAAAACTTTCCAAAACAATCACACAAGAGATGTATTTTTATTTGTGAAAGCTTAATGTTTTAATTCAAATTATGAACAAAGTACTAGTCACTAAAAATTCCTGTCCAGATCCACGAATGAATTCTTTAAATCCCAAATATACATAGACATTTTATGCACTACCTTGCATATGAAGATCATTCTCAGCACTTTTGTACTTAGACACGACCAACTTGGTTATACATAATGTCTCAGTTGCCATAGGAAATGCAATATGTGTTAACATTGTGATGAGATGTTCTATGTCTAAATTTTATTCTATTGTTGTGATGACAATGAACGAATAGGTGCTTAAAGCTGAAAAGGACTCTTAAATAGGCATACACATTATTAGTTTTCCAATCTCATATATCTGCACCGGGGTATATAAACCCTTCGCTTTACACCTGATTGCTTTAACCTGGTCGTTGATGCGTGTAGTACATATTTATCTCACGTTGTCCTTTTTGTTAACATTCTATTTCATTGAAGGTGCATTTGCGTTTATTTCACTTTGTTATGCTTTGACCTTTGCAGCTATATCGGATAACTTTTCATAACTTTTTTTTCTGACGCGGCAGAGGCATACAGAAGTAATTTTTGTCGCACCCAAGTATATCACAATGTTGGAGACGTGTGCTCAGGTAGAATTCGTTAAGCAAAATACATTGAAACATGAACAAAGCTGGGGCTTATAAGCAGTTGTAAAACGACAGGATTTTGATTGGAAAAAGAGGCTGACAACATAGTAATCATTGGTATAACAATCCGGAGAATTATGTGTGTGTTTATAATGTAAATAATAAGCGGGTATCGGATATATTATAATAAATATTATTATAATTATTTTATAAATTAAAAAGAGGAAACAATTAAAAAAGAAATAATAATAAAAAAAAAAACACGACTGAACAGTGTAACGGTATCAAACTTATCAGTGATATAACAATCAAGTTTTCTATAGGACAATTCTGTATGTCTTAATAATGTGCAAGAAAACGTGATATAAAGAGCGTACCGGATCTGCTATAATGAGAAATCAGATTACATCAGACAAAATGTGAATAAATAGATTAAAGTTACATTCTTTTTTTAGTTTTTTTTTTTGACATGATAGTGAACGTATTTTGGTACGTAATATTGTTTTGTGAGTATTTCGTGCAGAGCTGTAAATTACTTTTTACTTTTATTCGCGAGAACTTTATTTTAGCGTAATTACGCTAAACAGTTCGCGAAAATTTCATTCTTAAATATTATATACAGCAGTAACCAAAAATCGTGCAAATATGGCTCGCTCATATAGGGTAAATTCTTATCTCGCATAAATCAGATGTCATGAAAATTTGACCAATTATGACTTTGTTGTTCTTGAGAAGAAAATCTTTATAAATACATCCTTTACATAACTTTAATCCCCTCTTGTATTCGGTCTCTTCTTCTTTTCTTAATGTCTAATTCTAATCTACATACCTGAGTATGCTTCTAAATTGATATGACTAATTATGGCTTTGCTGTTCTTGAGAAGAATTTTCAAGATCTTTTCAATGTATTACTATGTAAAACTGTGATCGCCCAGTGTTGCCTAAACATATCCCAAGAGATTAAGAATTCATCAAACTTGATTCCACCCTTATTGAGAATGCTTCTATATTAATATTTCAAATCATGGCTTTGCTGTTCTTGAGAAAAAGAGATTATTTTTTTTTGCCATGAATTCCAATGATATATTGCGGTCGCCCATTGTGGCCTCACCCCAACCCTGGGGTGGGTGTCATGATTTGAATAAACTAGAATTTAAAGCATGTAATGATGGTTGCACATAATTTCCATTATTTCTCACCAAGTATTTATTTAGAAGAAGATTTTTAGAAGATGCCATTAAATAGTAATTATTTATTATCTCCCCTTGAAAGGGGACATGGTACTTCCTGTGAACAAACTTAAATTGTTTTTAATTTCCTTCAACCAAGACTTCTTCGTGGCAAATTCGGTTGGATTTGTTGCAGTCGTTCTTGAGAAGAATTCAAAGATGTGAAAAATTTACAAACGACTAACAAGAGACGACACACGACAGACGCACTCCGAACACTCTTCGATCAAAAAGTTTACATGAGCCTTCTGCTAAGGTGAGCTAAAAACCTTTTTTTTTAAATTAGAGAAGTATCCCAGTGACCTTTTGCTTCATTGGAATATTTTTTAAACCTAATCTTCGTGCCTTTTTCTTGTTTGATCAACTAAAACCCTGAAAGAAAAACATGCAATATAACTCTTTTTTCAGCTTACTATGGTACCAATCATCAAAGCAGTTGTATTCAAACTTTCCTAATTTTTGACTGGATGGGGTTTAACATTTAACATATTTTCCACACTGAGCTATTTTTTAAAGGAGAGAAACTAAGGTTCTTATTACACGTCTTGTGCTCATTGGAGCACGGCTGTGTATTGTGCTCACCAGTCTAATTGATAGGTGAACAAAACCAACTGCATTCATATAACTCATATCTTACAAATAACAATTTCTGTTTCGCAGACAGAGGTTATCATGCTCCAGATTTGTATTGTTTCAATGGACTATTGAGACTGATAACTATTCTTTATCTTTAGATTTCGTTCTATATGTATTAGGTAAAGGTGAAAAATTACCGAAGCATATTAATGTATAATTCCTGAAACCTTCTTAATACGCTGAGTAATGAATAATTTATGATTGATAATGAAATGAATTGATTAATAAGATACGAATATAAACTTATAAAAAAAAGCAAACGAAAAGGAACTATATCTGCAATTTCAACGTAGCCTCTATTATGTAAATCAACATGTCAAACTTACATTATGCTCCCATTGTGTAAAACTGAAAGAATTCCTATGGTGCTAAAATTGAAGGTTCATTCTTTCTTCTGCAAAAGTCATATACAAAGAGGTGACTGCATTTAGAGATATTTTCCAGAAGACGTAAACTGTTAACAGCATTTGTTGTAAACATATTACTGGTATATTAGGGGAATTTGGCTTTGCAATTTATTCCAGTATCAGTAATTCTTAGCTCACTATTTGTATATTTCAAATCATTTTTCAAGAAATCTTTTTGTGCATTAACACTGTTTTAACAACTATTTTTTTATATAAACTTATCTAATTTTGAAAATAAATTATGTTGCCGTTGTAACATTGTGGAAGCAATATTTTAGGGGTTTAATATGTCACTATATTTTCCATTGTGATAAAACTTTCTTTTTAGAAAAAAAAAGAATCAGCTATTTAACTTGTTCAACATCTCTTGTTCAGTAGAGCATCACTTTATATTGTGTACCCCGGTGTAATTTAAAGATACAGAAAGGTGTCCAAATTCACAAAGATCATTTTTCTGAGACGCAGAAAAATTAAATGAAAATGTTTTTTTTTTCTTTGAAAAAGACGTAAACTTTAGAACAGCCCAGTTTGATAATCAGAGTGTACGGAAAAAAATCGCTGGACAAATCATCTATTAAAAAGACAAGGTAAATGTAAGTAAAGTAATCTTATTCTTGCATATTTTAACAAAATTATTATAATGACGACAGCAAATAAGAGCTTGATATATTCTTGCACACTACGAATTGTAACAGACACATTTTTGCAATGTTCCTAACTGAGGGTTGTGAATCATAATAACCCAAAAGGATACTCTTTTAAGATATGTTTAATTGTTTGTTGATGATTGAGATTTTGAATATAAAATAGAAGAAAATAAAACAGAGACACAAAGTGCTCAATAGGCAGTCAAAAACAGAACTGTAAAAACCGCTGCTTTAGTGTATCTTCTCCTGAGAGGAGGAACAGTAGACTTCGATTTGATTGATAACCCTCACATGGATTTTCAGATGAAACGCACCTCTTTGGAGTTTGTAGGTCTACAAAACTCATACATGTATATTAACGATTTCCAGGACAATATTAATTGTTTTGAGGGGTTTTTAATTATTCGTGACACAATAGATAACACCTACAAATTTTCTCATAGCTCAGTACAGGAATCTCTTTTCAGTGTCTTGTTTAATTTTGATCCTGAAAAAATGATCTAAATGTGTCATCCGTCGTTACTTCTGACTCTGACTACATTTAAAAAACCAAACAGCACACAAGTTTTGATAGGACAAAGACTATTTAAAATTGTTGTCCGTCGCATTGCACATGTCATTACAGAAAGGTCTGTGATTGGGTATTCTTCCATATCATCACTGGAATTATGGAATGATTCAAACTTCCATGAGCACGTACTACAAACAGAACAATGCACTTCCATATTTCAAACATGTCATGATGTCAAGGGAGATCCAATGATTGTGCATTTTTCGAAGGCGGGGAATAAGCGATGGGTTGAATATTTACTACCAAATTCAGAAAAAAGAGCAAAATACAGGTCACTTAACGCCGCTTGCTCAAAAAATCAACCCGATATTGCTTATCTCATTTTGTCATCAAATGTGGAATGTGATCTTCAAACATGTTTTTATGCTGTGCAAAGTGGCAATATAGACTTATTGCTCCGAGTTTGTGAGTTTGTTGATCTTCATCAAATTTCATCTTCCCTACCTCCTGTTTGGAGTTGTATAAGACATAGCTTACTTCAGGAAATCTGTTCTATGCAACAAACACAATTAATTGAACAAGTTCTGGCAAAATATCCATTCCTTATAGATATAGGAGACGACCAAGGGGGCAATGCATTACAGTCCGCAGCAGGTTCTGGGGACAAACGTGCATTTAATCTTCTGTTAAAGTTTGGCTTTGATCCATATAAAAAAGATCGAGACAATGGTCACACTGTTCTTACCTGTGCTTGTCAGAATGGAAGGACAGACATGGTGAAATACCTTATTGAGACATACCCTGCATTACTCCAGGAAAACACAGATATTCGTGGAAAAAGTCTTTTGTATTGGGCAGCTTTCAGTGGGAAAACAGATATGTTTAAATATATGCTAAGCGTCTTTCAGAATGAAAATATATTACGTATATCAAGGTACAATAAACCCAAGGTAGATAAAAAAAATAATTCAGGTCAATCTATCTTGCACATTGCATGTAAAAAAGGTCATTATGATATGAGTGAATATCTGTTGAGTAGATATCCTCAGTTACTGGATGTTCGTGACAATAATGGGGAAAATGTGCTCCATCATGCAGCTCAAGTAGGCAACGTAGATCTTTTCAAGTATCTATCAAGTAAAGGATTAAATGTCAATGATACAACAAATACTGGACAGACTGTGTTACACATATGTTGTGCTATGGGTAAAGAGGAAATGTGTAGATATCTGGTTAATATGTATCCATGTTTAAAATCTGTTAGAGATAATAACGGATTGACAGTGTTACATTCAGCTTGTATAGGAGGAAGTTTGGAAATTGTTTCGTTTCTTATAGAAAAAGGATTGAATGTCAATGCCTTGTCTAATGATGGTAAAAGTATTTTGCATAGAGCCTGCCTCAGTGGGAAATTTGAAATTTGTGAGTACTTAGTTGAGAATCATTCCCATCTATTAGATGTCAGGGACAGATATAGTAACTCAGTGTTGCATGATGCAGCCTGGGGAGGCAATGTTCAAACATTAAATTATTGATTGAAAAAAAGATGGACATCAAAACCCTACAGAAACATGGTGAAACAGTTTTACATAAATGCTGTCGTTCGGGTAAAATAGAGATGTGTGACTTTTTGGTCAATCATTTTCCAGAGTTATTGGAGATAAGGGACATTTATGGATGCACGGCGCTACATTCAGCTTGCAGGGGATGGAGTTTAGGAATTATTTGTTTTCTAATAAAAAAAGGATTGGACTTGAATGTTCTGACAAATGATGGTAGAAGTCTTTTGCATGTAGCTTGTCTTTGTGGGAAGTTTGAAATTTGTGAGTACTTAGTTGAGAATCATCCCCATCTATTAGATGTCAGGGACAAATCTAGTTACTCAGTGTTGCATTATGCAGCCTGGGTAGGTAATGTCCAAATAGTAAAACTATTGATTGAGAAAAAGATTGATATCAAGACCCTATCGGATGATGGTGAAACAGTTTTACATCTATGCTGTCGTTCTGGTAAAATGGAGATGTGTGAGTATTTGGTCAATCAATTTTCAGAGTTATTGGAGATAAAGGACAATAACGGATCTACAGTGTTACATTCAGCTTGTAAAGGGGAAAGTGTAGAAATTGTTTCTTTTCTAATAAAAAAAGATTGGACATCAATGCGTTGTCAAATGATGGCAGAAGTATTCTGCATGTGGCTTGTCTTAGTGGGAAGTTTAAAATTTGTGAGTACTTAGTTGAGAACTATCTCCATCTATTTAATGTCAGGGACACATATAGTAACTCAGTGCTGCATGATGCAGCCTGGGAAGGTAATGTTCAAACAATAAAACTATTGATTGAGAAAAAGATGGACATCAATACACTACATGAAGATGGTAAAACAATTTTACATCAATGCTGCCACTCTGGTAAAATGGAGATGTGTGAGTATTTGGTCAATCATTTTTCAGAGTTATTGGAGATAAGAGACAATAACGGATGTACAGTGTTACATTCAGCTTGCGAAGGAGGAAGTGTGGATATTGTTTCGTTTCTTATAGAAAAAGGATTGGATTTAAATGTCTTGTCTAATGATGGGAAAAGTATTTTGCATAGAGCCTGCCTCAGTGGGAAATTTGAAATTTGTGAGTACTTAGTTGAGAATCATCCCCATCTATTAGATGTCAGGGACAAATCTAGTAACTCAGTGCTGCATGATGCAGCCTGGGGAGGTAATGTTCAAACAATAAAACTATTGATTGAGAAAAAGATGGACATCAATACTCTGCAGAAAAATGGTGAAACGATTTTACATCAATGCTGTTGCTCTGGTAAAATGGAGATGTGTGAGTATTTGTTTAATCGTTTTTCAGATCTATTGGAGATAAGGGACATTAAAGGATGGACAGTGTTACATTCAGCTTCCAAAGGAGGAAGTGTAGAAATTGTTTCTTTTTTAATAGAAATAGAATTGGACTTCAATGCCGTGTCAAATAATAGTAAAAGTATTCTGCATATAGCTTGTCTCAATGGGAAGTTTGAAATTTGTGAGTACTTAGTTGAGAATCATCCCCATTTATTAAATGTAAGGGATAGATCTAGTAACTCGGTGTTGCATGATGCAGCCTGGGGAGGTAATGTTCAAATAGTAAAACTATTGATTGAGAAAAAGATGGACATCAATACCCTACAGAAAAATGGTGAAACAATTTTACATCAATGCTGTCGTTCTGGTAAAATGGAGATGTGTGAGTATTTGGTCAATCATTTTTCAGATTTATTGGAAATAAGGGACAATAACGGATGGACAGTGTTACATTCAGCTTGCATTGGAGGAAGTGTGGATATTGTTTCGTTTCTTATAGAAAAAGGATTGGATTTAAATGCCTTGTCTAATGATGGGAAAAGTATTCTGCATATAGCTTGTTTTAGTGGTAGGTTTGAAATTTGTGCGTACTTAGTTGAGATTTGTCCCCATTTATTAGATGTAGGGGACACATGTAGTAACTCAGTGTTGCATGATGCGGCCTGTGGAGGTAATGTTCAAATAGTAAAACTATTGATTGAAAAAAAGATGGATATCTATACCCTAAAAGACGATTGTGTAACAATTTTACATCAATGCTGTCGTTCTGGAAAAATGGAGATGTGTGAGTATTTGGTCAATCATTTTTTTTTTCGATTGAATGGAGATCAGGTACAATAATGGATGGACAATGTAACATTTATCTTGCAAGAGGGAAGTGTAAAAATTGTTTATTTTCTAATTAACAAGGTGTTGGACTTTAATGCCGTGTCAAATTATAGTAAAAATATTCCGCATATTGCTTGTCTGAATGGTATAATAGTACATGATGAGGTTTTTATTAATTTTTAGATGTCAAAGATAATCATGGTAAATCAGTAATAGATATTCCCTCTAAGCATGGAAACATGATTCATTTGTTGACAGAACGCTTGTAATTATGAACCTTCATCAATTACTAATCTCTATGAAAGAAATATTGAGACATTCTTAAAAAACTCGTTTTTAAAAAAATTAAATAGATTAAATGGTGAACAATGATTTCAATCGCATTGTGTGGTGATCATTTTCTCTCCCTATAAATTATTAAAAAGGGGGAAATAAATCATATTTTGAATGAAATGAGATGAAGATAGCAAACAGTGATAAACCTCATAAATCTAAATATACAAAACAAATCTAGAACAGGGTGAGAACATGGACCCCTTAAGTCACCAGAGGTTGGATCAGATGTCTAGCTAAAGGTAAAGGTAACATTAAAGAGTCTTGACAATTTATTTTATGTAGTTTTATTTTTAGATTGATCATTGTTCATTATCTTCAGCTTTTTCATTCGATTCCGTTCTTTTAAATACAAAGATTGGGCTGGAGTGTTTAAGAGGCAGTCCACAAAAAAAACAGGCAATGGGTGGCACATCGCATGTCATGGATTTTTATTATTTTTTGCATGTAGACTTATTAAAGCAAATGTTTACACATGGCAACATCAAAATTTTTTTTAGTGATCCTCTAGTCCTATTTTTGGTAAGTGCTTAATTTTAAGTGCAAAAAGGTCAACAAGTTGGTTAAAAATTTACTACGTTTTTGTTTTGTTTTATTTGAAACAGATACTCAAAAACTGGATATGTCAATAAATATTATTTATAGTATAAACCCTTATCTTTTATAATATCAATGAATAAGACACCAATTTATATATCTTTAGAAAAAAATATGTGGTCTAAACTTGAGTTGAGCAAATTACTTAATGAATTCACTATCCAATTTTCATTACGTTCTAAAATCCAATACATTTAAATGTCAAAACTTTCTCCTCATGTTATTATAAATACAAAGTACAAATTGTTGAATCAATTTAAAAAATTGGTGGGAACAGGTATATTGAGAGAAATAAGAGGCGTCAAATTATCTACTTTTTATAAATTTATCCAAATTAAACCGATCCCGACCGGAATTATATAAAGAAGAAAGCTACTACTGTAAATTCCTTATTTTACGTGAGTACTTAATATCGCGAAAGGGCTCTTAAACTCTAAATCGCGAGAACAATAATTCGCGAATGGACGGTTTATAATGAAATTTACAATTAATTTCAACGCCATAGAAATAAAAGCGAGTAATTTTATTTCGCGAGTGGTGTTCCTCGCGTAATTACGCGTTAATTAATTCATCGCGTATATTTAGGAATCTACAGTATGATTTCATCATGAAACTTGGTTGTTTTGTTTTAATATGGTTTACAAATTACTTGATTTATTTTTAAACATGTTTTCTAGGTGGCAATTACCATTAATTTGATTACTTAATAATTTTGCATTAATTTCGATCGGGATCGGTTTTATTTCAATCGGGATTGGTTTCTGTATTAAAAATTAGAAATATTTTCTAAAATCGGCTCTTCGTTGTATTTTATCGTAGGAATATGTCTGTATTTTATTTCTTTTCTGTGAGTTACATGTTTTTAGATGATCTTATCCATAGATTACATATATCTTAATTACTAAATGTTTTTCAGGTCCATGAAGATCTTTTTAATTACTTGTAAAACATCTGTTTGATTTCTTGATACACACCTATTTAAAAAGATATTTATTACATGTGACAATTAATAGCAAATTTTAAGCTTAATAAAATATCTCATTTCCAAGAAAAATATTTTTCTGAATTATCTGGACTAAAAAGAAAATCTAAAAAAAAAAATAGTCCTGCAGTGGCGAAATTATACATGCACGTACTTTATTCCAGCAAGTATTTTTTATGTGTACAGTCTCGACTTTAATCCAATTTTTTTCATTCATTCATCATATTAAGGAATATTATCATGCTCTAAGAAATTTAATTTGAAATAAATAAGGAAAAAAAACACTTATATACATATAATCATGATAATAGAGCCCAGAAATGATCGCACCGAAAAAAAAAAAGCGGTTGGGAGGGGGTTCGTCTGGGTGGCATCCGTTTTGTAACTAGTTTGATAATAATGAGATATTTTGGAAATTTACCAACCTACTGACTTATTTTAACTCAATATAAAGTATTAGGATATGTGGAACAATTGTCAAATTTTAAAAACGAAAATATAAAAAAATGTTCCATTGACTCATCTGCCGTTTCAGTGTCAGCTTGAAGTGGGGCGTCCAGCAGTAGAACTGGCAACATTTTCCTCATTAATTAGTAAATTCATAGATTTCTATAACTTTTTTTCTATTTCAGATTTTACATTTTTAAAAAAATAAAGTCTAAACAGAATCTGAACCACCGACACTAATAGTAAACAACCATTGCTAATATTAGTGAAGTGGGATGTGACGAGTACTTCCGTTCTTTCAACTGTTAAAACTTATTCGGTCAGACAGTCGTATAATGCTGATATTTGATATTACTGCATAATAAGTTAACATATTCAAGTATTAACAACACTTCATGAAGTGCACATCTCGACTTTGCTGAATTTAATGTTGCGTAAATTTGGAATATTCATTATTACTGAATAATAAGAAATAATCCTTAATCTTTTCACATCCAAATTTTATCAATTTAATCCTATTATGATTACTGTAAAGACGTTTTGTACGTAAAGACGTCTTTGTTTCCGACCTACATTCAATGGTTTATATAGGGGAATTCAAGAACACAAAACAAAACGAAATTTTAGTAAATAAGCTATTTTCAAACAAATCTTTGCTTACATTATTCCATATGGACTACATTAATATCAATTTTAATAAAATATCAAATTTTCGTCACATTCGATGTGCCGCCTATTAATACAAAACTGCCTGGTTTTCTGGTGGACTGCCTCTTAATTGTTTACAGTTTCTTAAAATGATTCAGTACCAAGTCTCTCATTATTATTTTGTGGGAAGAAAATACTTTGTTTGCAATTTGTATGCTTAATTTATAAGATAATTCAAAATCGTAAGACTTGTAAAATGTTAAGAAAATATAGTGCCCGTTCTTAAAAATAGAAAAAAAACTAAATGTCTTGTAATCAATTATTCGGGTTTGGTTTTTTCCTCCTGAAAATTCAAAATCATTCATAGAGACTTTAATTTCTTATTCCGTAGAATTCTTGAATGTGTTTAACTATGATTTTATTTGTTAATGTAAATAAGATGATTAAAATAGACATACTTGAAATTTATAATTCTGATTTAGCATATATATTGTATAAATCGTTTAGAACTTAAGTACTCGTTCTATAGTCAAAGATATTCTTCAAACATTGAATGTGAAGTGTGTGTATATCCTTTTATATATATTTTTGTTATTGTTTGAAATGAAATAAGCATGAAAACGACCTTATTTTTCATCTCATGCATTTAATTGCATTGATGTACGTTTTAATTGATAGTTTTGTGTCATAATTGCTTTTTATATGAAAATAGGATATTTTCATAAGAATAATGGTATTATAACTCTATATACAAAAGATTGTTATTTAATATAAAAACTGTACTTTTGTATATTAAACAAATTATTACTAAAATTAACTATTATTATGAAAACATATATTTTATGTTTGTTACAAATTTAAACATCTTGTATGTTGATATTTCTTTTCATTCATAGATTTAGGCATTATTTTACTGAAACACAAAAGAAAGGCAATATCAAGTTTTTAAAGTATGAGGTCAGACATTGGAATTAGTTTGTAATTCAAAAATTAGTACACCTTCAACTCTGCACAGTCGATAATTTTACAGTTATTTGATTCTCATCCCGTTACCGGATTGGGGTCCTACACTGATTAAACGGAAACAATTAATTGCATTTTTTATTTAAAAAAAATATGGCGCTTTGATTTTGGACAAGGAATAGCTGAAGTCATCTCGTTTGTCATACAATTTAGTTGACTCTTATCCTGACTGGTGTTGTACGCAATCAGTAACTGTTATAACATTTAAGAAAATCCCCCCGTGCTTTTGCACAGGACCAGTGTAATGCGTAGTAAAAAATTCTGCATAACGATACCTTCTTAAGCACTTGGTTTTTTTCTTTTGGTAATTCTCATTCAAAATTGTTCGTCATAAAACTTTCACTGCATACCTGCACATATGTTAGCCTCTAGTAGAGCAGTGTGGTTATACCCCAGGTGGCCAAAACTGCACAGGGCCATAAATATAGTCACACTTGAAGCAATTGAAGTCATATTGGTACTGATGTAAGTACTGACTGAAATAGCAAAAATCCCTTCTAATACTGCGGAAGAGTCATAAGGTGTTGAATTGTTGTAAAGATGCAGAAACTGCCCCATACGACCCCGTTCTCTGATTAACTGATGCTGGTTATAGGCAGATAATGACGCCTGGCAGCAGATTTCCTCTATGCATATTTCGCTCTGATTATCTGAAAGCACCATCTTTAGAATGATTCTTTTTAGTTAATTAATACAGCTTCACTCAAATATCATCTATTTATTATTTCTATGCAATGCTTCTCTTAAACGTTACATTGGAAGCGTATAACCTTCAGAATAACGTTTGAAAAAATTTCAATGGATAAAGACAAATATTTAAACATAATATAAAAATTGTTTTGACGTTGATATAAGATTAACTATTCTGTGTTTATGTTCTGTCCAAGAAAGATAGAGTTATAAAGAAAGTTTAAATGGAATATTTCATTGAATGTTCAAATTAATTTACACGACTTACATCAGAAAAAAAAACTTAAGGAAT